AACCAGTTGTGCTTTCTCCTTCTTTGTGTCATTGCTGTGTGCTTGTAGAAGGCACACCCCTTTTCTCACCAGTTTCTTCTACTTCCCTGTTTGCCCTGACAGCCATCGTGCCGTGCAAATAAGAGAAAATGACGAGCCAAAAACCAGACGAAGTAAATGTGAATAACATCTCGATGTGTAATGCACCATTAGCATATCTGGGTTCATTTTTTCTTTTATTAGCATTTTATTTGGTTTGAAAGCGTTTGGGGTAATGCGCCACCAAAAGGGGCGCCGTTGATTATAGCATTTTTTTTATTTTATCTGTATGTGCATCATCGATTACTTACTTTTATGTTTCCAGTTGTTGCCGCGTTAGAAAGTGACGCGGATGCGGTTGTTTCTTTGGCGACAAAGCCACTAATCCCGTACTTCTGCCACTACCTTCTTCGTGGGGATGCCGACTGGTGCGGGGCCACAACCGGGCGCCAATCCGTATGCTTAGAATGAGCCCGTTTATAATCGCCCCATGCTTTCTGAATACATTCGTTGCACTTGTGGATGAGTGCTGGATAAAGCAAGTGCCCTTTTGGAGGGGGATGCTGGGCGCATACTTTGTGTCTTTCCCACTCTTTTAATTTTCCTTTTAGGGAAAAGTAGACAGCAGGCCATTCGTCGCCGTTGGCGTCTTTTCGCTGTTGGCGTTGACTACCACACCTGGTGCCCGGAGCGTTGCTTTAGCACCGGGAGGAGGCGAAGGAGCAAGTTGCAAGGTGTGGTGGTGGGAGGTATGATTGCCGGTGTTGCGGCCGCCGCCATCGCTCCCATGCACCACAGGACCGCGTTGCCAGCCCCTGCTGGCTTCTTGGAGCCGCGTAGTTTTAGCCATGGATGCAGCCAAGCGGTTGGATCGTCGGTGTGTGTGTGACTCTTGGCGTGATGTTGGTCGCTGTCGTTCTGGCACTGGCGTACGTTGTGCACAAGTGACTGAAGCGAATGAGTGCGGGGGAGCATGAGGGGCCCAGCGGAGGTGTGGGGATGGACAGGGGGGGGGGGGGGTGTGCCCACCATTGGCAGCCACTGGAGGAAGCAGCGCCCCGTCAAAAGGAACAGACGTCGCGTTCTGGAGTGTGTGAGAAGCTTCTTGTGCCCGTGGAGGTTTGTAAATGTTTTCTTAGTCACCATCAGTTTTTCATTTTCGTTTTGTTCTGTTTTATTATTTGCTCTTTTTGTTGAAGTGCGTATTCGAACTACACACTAGGTGTGTGTGTTGTGGCGCTTGAGCGTCATGTTTGCGGCAGCGCCGGAGTTGCCTGCACTAAAATTTTATTTGCGTAAGTAGGAGCCGGCTTAACGCAGGGGTGCGTGGTTTATTGATTCTGCCTATGGTGTTCATCGTCCTGTTTATTCCACTTCACGGCCGTCCTTTTTCTTTTTTGTTCTTTGCTGCTTTCTAGTTTTGACTTGCTCTCCATTGTATTTCCCGCGCGAGTGTATTTTGGTGTGTGTGCCCGGCGAGTGCCGCTTCACCTGTGGATGCTCCATGCGTGGATGGAGCGGCAACTACTCCTCCTCATCCCTTCTTTGCCGTGATTCTCCGTACAACTGAAGAGCGCAGTGGTAGGGGACACCCAGGCGACGCAGAGAGTCCTTCGGTGTGTGCGTGCGTGTTGTTGTTTTTATCGGTCTTTCCTCCGTCCCCCACGCTCGTTTCGCAGAGGACGCCATGCACGTTACGGTGGGCACCGTTCCCCAGGAGCGCCAGCCTGCTCCGCGGCCTAGCCGGCGCGAGTGGACGGTTTGCCTCCCGCGCCTATGTGCCGATCTGCACTGTGTTGATGGCGCTTTGGAGCTCTGGAATTGTGGCAGTTGGCCTCTACCGGCGCTTCGGCCACAGTAAGACGCGTTCAGTGGAAGTTGGAGGAGGAGGAGGAGGAGGGGGCGCCGTGACTTGTGGAGGCAGCCCCAGGAGGAGGAATTGCTCTTGATTGACCTTCCAACTTCTGTGGAGGGACTTGACGCCCCACAGCGACTTGGAGGGGGGAAAGAAAGGAAAACAGTGGGTGGGGTGTTGACACAGATCCATACAAAAATGTATGCGTGTGTAGGCGGCAATTGGTGGTTGTTTTTTGTGGTTTGCTCTCCTCCCTCGCCTACTCATGCGTTTGCTCTTGCCATGCGTTTTAGTCATTCATCCAGGCGAAGAGAGGCCCGGGCAGGGAGGGAGAAATACATTTGCCGTGAATGTCGGCGCCTGTTTCTTTACATTGTTGTTGGCGGTCGTATTGTCAGTTGTCCGGCTGCTTAAAAAAAAACAAGAAGCGAACGATATTTCACAGCGAGGGGATGAGGAGCGTGGGGAAAAAGCAAGCGACAGTACAGCACTGCGACGACGTGAGAAGTGGAGACAGGCCTGTACCTCACCTCTGCGTCTCTTCCTTCCCTTTACTTCCTTTGCGTGTGGCGCTCCATTCGCCACGTGCGTGGCGCGTGTCACGGGTGTGACGCCCCCTGTGCCTTTTCCACCCCTCCCCGTCTGCAGCGGCCCTCGTGAAGGGCAGCCCCCGTGGCAGCGGAACTGGGTGGTCCTGGGCGTCGCACTTCGCCTCGTCTAGTTTGGAAGCTTTGCTGCGGTGCTTGTGGCGCAGCGGAGGCGCCTCCTCCACGCCAAGGGGAAAGGCGTGGATGGGGCCTCCTAGGCGGGGCCGTCGATGGGCGCGGCGGCCGCCGGCGAACTGCCACCGCCGCCAACGGCGACGGCCGCCACAAAAAAGTGTATCTGAGTATGTGCGCCTTCTCGGCCATCGGCGAGGAGGCCGCGATGTGGTTAGAGGGAGGTTTTAAACGAGCGGGCGGGCGAGTTATGGGTGGTCCTCTCCTCGTTTCGTCTCCGCGTCCCTTCCAGCTGCGCGTAAAACAGGAACAAAAGGCCCCATTTGCCGCCCAAGGCAGGAGTATGAATTGCAAGGAAAGAGCTATTTGCCGCCTAGCTAATCAACGGCAAGGCAATTGCTTTTGCTTTTCTCCCCCTCCGCTGTTTGCGTTATTGGCGTCGTTTCTCTTTTACTTCTTGTGTCTCTCGAACTTGGAAGCCTGCGGGTATTTCTTTTTTTTTCTTTGTCCTTGTTGTTTTTGCCCCTTTTCCCTCTCCCTCGATTGCTACTGAGAGTGGAATCATATTGCCTTTGCTGTGTGTGTGACTGCCGCCTGTGGGCGAGGAGGAAAAGCTGTGGCAACGTGAGGCGGAGGATTCACGGGTCGGGGGCCTGTTCCCGCGAGCAGTCATGCTGTTAATTAAAATCGTATATGTGGTTCTCTGTGCCCTCCTTGTCCTTCCTCTTCTTCTGCTTGTTCTTTGTTGCTTCCGTTGGAGTTCGCGCATGCGTTTGCTTCATGAACCTGCGCAAGCAAGCTTGCGGTCGACCTCTAAGCATGGCTCGTGCAGGCAGACGCAAGGTGGTGCAGCATGATTTCTACGACGAGGCAGAACAGGTCGCCGGGGTTGTGCTTTTGAACAGTCCGGCAAACGGTCGCTGGGAGTATGAGGAATATTTGAGACTCCTGCGTGTGCGGCGGTTCAATCAGCGGAAGCCGGAGTTGCCTGTTGGCCGGTGCTACTTTGTTTGCGCAGATGGAGCTTACCCCCGTCTGCGGACGTACTTTGAAGAAGAGCAACGGCGTCGTCCAGAGTTGTGGCCGTTTGCTCATGTTCCTCTCTGCGACGCCGTCATTGGCGATATGGACTCCTACTTGGATTCTTTACCCAAATGCGGTATTCATGGAGGCACCGACGGCAAGGGACTTCAAGACTCAATGCCCGCTGACGGGTACGCAACGGTGGACGAAGTTCCTGCCTCTATCTTGGGTCGAATCCGGGACAGATACACTTCTACTCTTGCCGAGTTCCATCGCGTGCGTGCAGCCATGGAGGGAGCCCCGTTGGAGCAGTGGGATAAGCTGCAGGCAGAGCACAAAGACGCGTCGTCCTCGCTCCCTTTTTGGATACACATCCGCTGTCAGGACACGAACGACTTCATGAAATCATTGATGCTCTTCAAGCGACTGCGAGAGCAACACATGGAAGACTTTGTTGCCGTTCCGCCGCCTGTTCTGCGAACGGAGAGTGGTATGCGGCTATTGGAAACCGGTGGCGCGGTTGACCCAACTGTTGGAAGCGAAGGCCTTGACATTGACCCCCAGCGGGAGAGCGACTTGTGCGCGGAGGCATGCAAAGAGGAGGCGGTGTTGCTACCGACGTACGTTTGCTTTGGTGGCCTTGGCGGCCGATTTGACCACGAAATGGCTGCCATCTCGGTCGTTTTGGCATTCAGCGAAGACGCCCATGTTGTGCTGACGAACTCCGGCAACACTCTATTTGCCTGTCAGCCCGATGGCTGGACGCAACTGGTACGACATGCAGGTTGCGAAGGCGTGGTGTCTGGCCTTATTAACTACGGTACCATGAAGGAGTGCGAGGTCAGCGGACTGCAGTGGAACGTTGTGATTGGGCGGGGAAAGCCAAGTGAATCGCGGGAATTGGTTCTGGGCTTTGGCAAGCTGATCTCGGCGTGCAATCCGATTCGCCACGAGGTTGTCACGGTTGACCTTCGTTGTCTACGACCCTTGACACTGAGCACAATGGAGTCTTGCGCGACAACAGCGGGGCCCGCGACGGCGTGCGGCGATGGGGCGGATGCCTACCACAACCCACCCACAATCTTTACTGTCGAGCGACGCAGAGGGGATGAGAAAGAAGTTGGCCGCTCGCACTGAGCTCATGTTCGCTGCCCACCCCACCCCCTCCTCCCTCCTGAATTTATAGATGTAAGCAATTGGTGGGCGTTTTCAGCAGCTCTGTACTTGATTCGAGGCCGTGTGGGTGAATTTGCCAGCGGGTTAGATTTAGTGGATGATTGCCGTTATTAGCTATCTTTACTGATTATATTTTTGTATGTGGCTACATGGTTTATGTTCCCAAGTATTACCGTGCTGGAGGGCAGTACAATTGTGGTGTTTTTCCTTTTCTTTTTTCTGTTTGTGGCCTTCGTTACCCCTATTGCCCTACTTCTGCCACTACCTTCTTCGTGGGGATGCCGACTGGTGCGGGGCCACAATCGGGTGCCAATCCGTATGCTTAGAATGGGCCCGTTTATAATCGCCCCATGCTTTCTGAATACATTCTCTGTACTTGTGGATGAGTGCTGGATAAAGCAAGTGCTCTTTTGGAGGGGGATGCTGGGCGCATTGGCCCAACATTTGACCTTTTTTTTTTATTGTCATTTTCTATCTTTCTCTAGGAATATTTTACCCCGCAATTTTTTAGGTGCATTTTTGTTTGTTTGTGGCGTATTTTTATCTGATGCTCAAGTTGTGGGGCGATGATTTGCGCTCTTGAGTAGGACATGTTTTTTTTCCTGGTGCGTTTTTGTTGGTCATGCCATGGGGCGTATCTGTGAATGTTGATACACAGACTTATGGACGCGTTATTTACA